AGTTCCAACACGTTTCTGGCCGCCTTCTTCCGTTACACATAGGAATGTGTTCAGAGCATGCTAGATAGACGACCACCTGTGCTAATTAGCTGTCTTCCATAAACACGCGCTGTAACATGGAGATATGGCCGTGTGGGAACACTAGCCCTAACTATATAAAGGTGTGTAGTAATTTAAACTTTTGTTTTTTGAAAATGATTTATCGCTGATATGAAAGATACCTTCCTTATGTTTCCAAAACCGAACCGCAATTAACGCAAGCATCGAATATCTTACCAAAAGTCCCCGGTAAGAAAATGTAGTACTGTACCTTCATCAATAGTAGGCAGAGCAAACCCGTTTTGATGATTTCTGGTATATCATCAAAATAAATGAATCACAGCACGTTTTTGGACTCAGCAGTGTTTACCTGAGTACAATACCATTGGAAATAATGTAGCTGCGTCCAGTTGACAATACCTATTGATAAATATCCCGATGTCAACACATTTTTAAAGTGTCCAAATCAATAACCATTCGCGCTTTGCTACTGGGGTCACCTAAACCGAAAGAGAAACGCAACATTGTTTTGTCAATCACTCATCAATTACCACGTTGAAATCAATTTCACGAGAGGGGAGAGATGAGGGTGCATGTCCTGTTAAAACTAACGCAGCTCAAAAACCACTCGGAATTTGGAGAAGATGGCGGAAGTAGCAAAGTTGGTGAAGACGAATGTTCTGAATGGACAACGGTAGTATCGAAAACTGGAACAAAAAGTGAATTGTCAAAAATTGGAGTGGAGAATGCGTGTATGAATGATAATCAATCACTTCTTGTTGGGATGCGTTTTTTGAGTAAGGATGCAAATGTGGGAGACCCGTTTGAGTTGTCGGAAATGGTGAAGTATGCGTTGGGAAAGGTCTGTCAGAGTGACCAGGAGTGGTCTTATTTTGATTCATTGTATTTCTGAGGAACAGAGGAACATTGCAATGGGCCTCAAAATAATATAATAAATAATATGCCATTTTTAGCAGACGCTTTTATCCAAAGCAACTTACGTTGCGTGCATACATTTATTGTGTATGGGTGGTCCCGGGGATCGAACCCACTACCCTGGCGTTACAAGCGATGTGCTCTACCAGTTGAGCTACAGAGAACCACTAAATAATCCGGACAACATAAGTTTTGTGGTTTGAACTTCGGAGTAGAGCACCCGTCAAAGGAGTCATCTCAGGAGTGACGACGGATGTTCAAACCACTTCAGTGTAAGAGTTGTAAAGGATTTGGCCAAGAATGTGCAGATGGACAGAGTATAATGAAGAACGGTGTGTAGAAGGACGACAGTGTTGCAATTGTGGTGGGGGATCATGATCTGGAGTTTTATTTTTATTTCACCTTTATTTAACCAAGTAAGCCAGTTGAGAACAAGTTCTCATTTACAACTGCGACCTGGCCAAGATAAAGCAAAGCAGTGCGATTAAAAACAACAACACAGAGTTACAAATGGGGTAAACAAAACAGGTAAGGCAATAAATAGGCCATAGTGCAAAATAATTACAATTTAGTATTAACACTGGAATGATATATGTGCAAGAGATGATGTGCAAATAGAGATACTGGGGTGCAAATGAGCAAAATAAATAACAATATGGGGATGAGGTAGTTGGGTGGGCTAATTTCAGATGGGCTGTGTACAGGTGCAGTGATCGGTAAGGTGCTATGACAACTGACACTTAAAGTTAGTGATGGAGATAAGTGTCTCCAGCTTCAGAGATTTTTGCAGTTCGTTCCAGTCATTGGCAGCAGAGAACTGGAAGGAATGGCGGCCAAAGGAGGTGTTGGCTTTGGGGATGACCAGTGAGATATACCTGCTGGAGCGCATACTACGGGTGGGTGTTGCTATGGTGACCAATGAGCTAACATAAGGCGGGGATTTGCCTTGCAGTGATTTATAGATGACCTGGAGCCAATGGGTTTGGCGACTAGTATGTAGGACCAGCCAACAAGAGCGTACAGGTCACAGTGGTGGGTAGTATATGGAGCTTTGGTGACAAAACAGATGGACTGTGATAGACTACATCCAATTTGCTGAGTAGAGGGTTGGAGGCTATTTTGTAAATGACATCGCCGAAGTCAAGGATCGGTAGGATAGTCAGTTTTACGAGGGCATGTTTGGCAACATGAGTGAAGGAGGCTTTGTTGCGAAATAGGAAGCGGATTCTAGATTAACTTTGGATTGGAGATGCTTAATGTGAGTCTGGAAGGAGAGTTTACAGTCTAACCAGACACCTAGGTATTTGTAGTTGTCCACATACTCTAGGTCAGACCCGCCGAGAGTAGTGATTCTAGTCAGGTGGGCAGGTGCCAGCAGCGTTCGATTGAAGAGCATGCATTTAGTTTTACTAGTGTTTAAGCGCAGTTGGAGGCTACGGAAGGAGTGTGGTATGGCATTGAAGCTCGTTTGGAGGTTTGTTAACACAGTGTCCAATGACGGGCCAGATGGAGTGCCCTGTAAGGGTGAAGGAGATTGAGGTGGCAAAAGTTAGAGGTTAATCGAATCTCCTATGCGGAGGTGATTTTAACAGTATTGAGAAAACAAGTGATGCTAGTGAAGATATGGTAGTGGATGCACCACAGCCTGTAGTAAATGTTTGCTGCCAGTTAAAAGATACCCTGTGTGTTAAAAAGGTGTATTTTGTGGCGTTCATTGCCACAGTTCTAAACTGTACGGCCCACGTTTCAAAGAAGTCTAAGAAACTGGACATTATTGTGGCTGAGGCAGAGAAGTTTTTGGGACTTCAGGATTTTACATCTGAAGACTTGCAAGAGGTACTGGCACTGGAAGACCAGCCCTCCCAGGTTCCCCTTGAGCCTGTGTAGGAATCAGATCTGTGTTATTTTTTAAATTATATATACAAAAGTATGTGGATTTGGCTATTTCAGCCACACCTGTTGCTGACAGGTTTATACAATCGAGCACACAACCATGCAATCTCCATAGACAAACATTGGCAGTAGAATGGCCTTAATGAAGAGCTCAGTGACTTTCAACGTGGCACCATCATAGGATGTGACCTTTCCAACAAGTCAGTTTGTCAAATTTCTGCCCTGATAGAGCTGCTCCAGTCAACTGTAAGTGCTGTTATTGTGAAGTGGGAACGTCTAGGAGCAACAGCGGCTCAGCCAGGAAGCGGTAGGCCGCACAAGCTCACAAAATGGGACCGGCGGGTGCTGAAGCGCGTAAAAAAGGTCCAATAATCGCATATTTCACAATAGTTTAACCATTTAGAGATGTAAAAAAAATAACGATGCTCCTAAGCACAATTAAACCAGTCACTCTAGACTAGAGCATCTATAGGGTCTGTGCAGCAGACAAAGTTTGATGTCCCTATCAATAGGCGCTAAAGATAGTTTGCGTCTATGAATGGGGTACGGGGCAGCTAGCTAGTTAGCTATATTCGCTGTTGACGAGTCAGAACGTTAGCCAAGAAGCTAGCTAGCTAAATAATTTCAGGTGACGTCATGGTCATCACAATATTTTTTCCATCAGATAGCTAATGCTAGCTAGCTTTCTGCTATGTTCATGCAAATCAACTCAACTTATATATGCCATGTAGCAGACGCTTTTATCCAAAGCGACTTACAGTCGTGCATGCATACATCTTACATACGGGTGGTCCTGGGAATTGAACCCACTATCCTGGCGTTGCACTTGCCGTGCTCTACCAACTGAGCTACAAACTTCAAAACACTACGCACTGCTTGAAAAGGTCATTTTTGCTAGCTAGATAGCAAATGATCTGGTCAACATTGTCATTGAATACAATCATTTAAGGCCAAATATAGATGTTTAGCTAACCTTTACAGACATGTAATATTTATTTGCATTTATCCAACACTTTAATCATCCCTGTGAAAAACTCCATTTGTTTACTAGCTTCTGTAGCTAATTGTAGTGTAAATCCAGCTTAATGCCTCAATCCAAATGGAATGGAAAAGATTAGAAATGGCTAAGGACCATACATTTCCTGGTTTTATTTTGTGTTAATTTGAAGGTTTAGGCATGTATGTAGCTACACTAAGCCTAGGTGGATCTACACAACTCATGATATGGGATGTAGATTTACTTTCCTGAAAACATTTGAAAAGCTTTGATTTTTATGGAACTGTCCCTACCTGCTCCAAAGCTCCCCTGTTTAGTTTCTTGTGTAAACTTTTCTAAAAAACCTCAGTCGGTGAACCCAAAAGCTTTGTCAGCTAAATTACTCACTCTGAGTGTAGGAGGGCAAGGCAAGTTTTAGTATGGGTCACACCCTGGAGTTTGCACATGTCAAGTGAACCTCCCATTGCTGTAAAAGTACAGGAAGGGAGGCTAAAGCTTGGTCTCCAGTCATGTGAGTCTCAGATGTGGCCACATGCTCATTACCAGGAAGTTTTCCATAGAACACAAGTTTGAGTTCAGAGGCCAGATTGAAGAATTCAATCTGATTCCTGGAAGAAACTTTGTACATTGCATTCCTCCTCTTAGAAGTTGTGGTAGACATGTATTTATCTGTGTAGACCTGACAAACGTTGTGTTATTCCTGGTAAGTTCTCTATTTCTCCTGTGCAGTTAAAGATTCATTTTGATGTGGAATAGTTATTTGTATTTGTTTTAAACCTCTTTGATTGACTCTTTACACTGTAGTTTGGGTGGAATTCACATGGATGTTGAAAATCAATTGTAAAATGTGACAGGAGAGAAGTGAGTATCTTTGTTGCTGCTGCAACCTTGCTCATTTGCATGATTTGAGATTTGAGAAATGCTGTTCTTTCTTCATCTCCAGGACAACCCATTGGAGATAAAGATGGACCCTTCGCTGCCTGCAAATGACATCACAACCAAACCACTGAGTGAAGCATCTAGTGCTCCAGTGATGGACATCCTTAGTGAACCCGCAAGTGAGGCATCTAGTGCTCCAATGGAAGACATACTTAGTGAACCAGCAAGCGCGAACTTGGAGGTTACTAGTGCTCCAATGGTGGACCTCCTTATGGAACCAGCAAGCGAGGCATCTAGTGCTCCAATGGTGGACATCTTTATGGAACCAGCAAGCGAGGCATCTAGTGCTCCAATGGTGGACCTCCTTATGGAACCAGCAAGCGAGGCATCTAGTGCTCCAATGGTGGACCTCCTTATGGAACCAGCAAGCGAGGCATCTAGTGCTCCAATGGTGGACCTCCTTATGGAACCAGCAAGCGAGGCATCTAGTGCTCCAATGGTGGACCTCCTTATGGAACCAGCAAGCGACGACTTAAAGGAGCCCCCCAAACCCGACATCATCGACCCATTGGCTGACATTATCAACGACACTCCACTCAGTGAAGTCAAAACACCAGTTGTTGCTATGGCCCAGGAGCCACCGAGCGACCTCTTCAATGATGAGCCTAGCGACCTTTTCGCTGAACCACGACCGAGTAACACCGCCAAGCAACCACAAACTAGCATATTCGAAGAACCTGACGAGGACCTCTTCAGCGAACCACTGGGTGAGGCCTTGAAGAAACCTCAGAATGTCTTCAAAGAAGCATTTGCACCAGTGGCCAAAGCTAGCAATGTCTGCGGTCCTCTGAGTGACAACTACAATGAGGACCCCACTGATATATTCACTGAGGAGGCCATCACTACTGTCCCTAGTGCAGTCAATACCATTTCCGTCAACTCCAAGACCAACGGAGTCCACTCCGATGAGGAGGAACCTGATATATTTGCAGGTAAGAATTTACAGATTATTAATCAGATTTCAAATGATACATTTTAATGTGCTATATTTGCTTCGGGCTTGAAACAAGCAGTGAAATGAACAAGAACTGTGTGTGTGCATGCCATTAGGGCTGATAAGGAAACTGCTGTCTCAGCGTTGTGCCGTTAGTAAGAGGAAAGCTGGAACAGGACTTTCACTGACATTAATACACAGACAAGAGTAGTAACATCCTGGTGTTGATCACGAGGAATGTGGCCCCTCTCACGTGTACTCACACACACTCACCTGACCAGAAGACTGGAGTGAAATATTAGTCAAAATCTTCAATTGATTCTCCCGTTGGCTTTTCCACTACAGTCTCAAAAACTATTGACGATATGATTTAGTCTGGAAGAAGAGTGCTATTTTCACTATTCCCTGACAGAGATAGGGCCTCTTGTAGTCAGATCTTCCAGACCTTTGAGTGAGTTTGTGGTGCATTGAGATGGATTAGGCCATAAAGTCTTGTTTGCATGTCACTACGATCCATTCATTGGTGCTTGCATACATATATACAGTACCAGTCAAAAGTGATGGAGTGCTGCATCAGATGACCTGGCCTCCACAATCACCCGACTTCAACCCAATTGAGATGGTTTGGGATGAGTTGGACCGCAGAGTGCAGGAAAAGCAGCCAAAAGGGCTCCGCATATGTGGGAACTCCAAGACTGTTGGAAAAGCATTCCTCATGAAGCTGGTTGAGAGAATGCCAAGAATGTGCAAAGCTGTCATCAAGGCAAAGGGTGGCTATTTGAAGAATCTCAAATATAAAATATATTTTAATGTGTTTAACACTTTTTTTGGTTACTACATGATTCCATATGTGTTATTTCATAGTTTTGATGTCTTCACTATTATTCTACAATGTAAAAATAAAGTAAAACCCTTGAATGAGTAGGTGTGTCCAAACTTTTGACTGGTTTTGTGTGTGTGTATGTATATATATATATATACGTATATATATATATATATATATATATACGTATATATATATACGTGTGTATGTATGTATGTATGTATGTATGTATGTATGTATGTATGTATGTATGTATGTATGTATGTATGTATGTATGTATGTATGTATGTATGTATGTATGTATGTATGTATGTATGTATGTATGTATGTATGTATGTATGTATGTATGTATGTATGTATGTATGTATGTATGTAATGTATGTATGTATGTATGTATGTATGTATGTATGTATGTA